ACCGATGCTATAACACATCGCACACTCTAGTTTCTTGTCACCAGTCTCTTGTACTATTTCCAGTCCCTTCTCATAGTAATCAACAGCTTCGTGATAATTTTCTAAGGAAAAGTAAACATAACCCAGTTTTTCAAGCGTGATAGCTTCTTCTTTTTTAGACCCATTCTTTTGTGCAATCATCAGGGCCTTTTTAAAGTATCTTATAGCATCTCTAGTCTCACCRGCTTSTAGTTTTGATTCACCGATAGAAYATGCCTTCGACCATTTCATGTCGTCTCTCCAAAGCCTTCAGTATATCAAATTGGGCTTCCTGTGTTTACAAAATGACGACAAGTAAACATCGTATCCACTTAAACTCAAACAGTAAATACATTGATTTTAAAAGTAAACTAGCTGATGTTAATCTTCTAAATTACAAATATGATGAATAGGATAAGTCAAGTGAATAGATTTCCTACAAATATTTAGGGGCATTTCGTTATAAAATCGAGCATAAAGTGTTAAATTCGACGACATTCGACTATTAAATAAGTTATTTCGAATTCATATCGGTACTTAGACAGYAATAAACAACCACTAACGATTTGGTGACATGATTGAAGGATAAATACCACTTTCTGATGCCTTTTAAAGTTTTAATTGGATGTTATCAAGCTCAATGAATACAAAATGTCGTCTTACCTTTGTACCGAGTCCAATCGTGACGAAATCTTATTGCAATGAATACTGTTCCTCGTTCACATACGATGCAGAGTCGATACAAGATTCTTGCACGATAATGAATCAATCAAACATCATGACATGAAGTGGTTCTTTGTCAGTTTTTCGTCCAAGAGACAAGGYTTTGCTYGAATTCCMGWAAGAGTTCTATCGTTTGTAATTCCGCTGTGCAGGATTACCTGAAGTCTGGCTCAACACGGAAATGAATGTTTTGATTTATGTAGCTATTGCGACAGGGTTTCACTTTATACATAGATTTGAATAAATCTTAGACTTTCACAAAGCCCTTTTAGCCTCCTGGCACAAGGTGAATATGATTCGATAAATATATGTGTCAGTTTGGTAGCTAAAATATGATATATTGTGTATATCAACATACCCTGCGAACAGAGGATTGTTCCACCTCCTTCTACGAAGAAAGGAAATAGATAGTGGAAAAATTCCTCTGCTCGCAGGGTAATATCAACAATGAATGAAATGAAGAATCAATGTTTGATCATTTGAAAGATAAAAGGAAAGAGTGACATATAGAAATAAACCATACTACAGCAATATGCAGAAATTCTGACAACTTTGACTCATATTCCAACTATATATAAAATATATCAGAAATTATGGGATATCATCGCTGATATATTTTTAAGATACTACTGATCCTAGGCAACTTCAAAAAAATATCAGTAACCATATCCCATAATTTCTGATATATTTTATATATAGTTGAAATATGAGTCAGAGTGGTCAGAATTTCTGCATATTGCTGTATTGTACATTAAACTCATCACTAATGATGAGCTTGGCGTTGGGTGCGTGTACGGTGGGGGGTAGGGTCCGAGGCTCGATCAGCTGGTTACCATGGAAACCCAGTCACGTCCCCACCTTGCACCTGTCACACTGGTCGCGACCAACCAGTGGAATACTTACCTATACTTACCTTGTTACCAGGGTGTGGAGGGATGGGAATCGAGAATTTGCGATTGCGATTATGTATTTTGGTTGCAGGCAAGCTAGCAATGA